ATATATATATATATATATATATATATATATATATATATATATATATATATATGCATCTCTGCATGCATGCATGCATCTCTGCATGCGTGCTTGTCTGCATGCATGCATATCTTCTGTCTCCGCTATTTATTAGTTATGCGGTGATTACTTCTTGAGCCTTCTTTCTGGGGATGGCGATCCCAATTACACTTTATATATATATATATATATATATATATATATATATATATAATATTTATTATATAACAAATAAATTAATTATAACTATATAAGTAAATTACTAAGGCGGGGGAAGGGCAGATGCAGCAACGACGACAACCACGCCTTCCTCTTTAGTACAAGCTAAAGCTTACTAGGGTTTAGGTTTAGGGTTTAGGGTTTATAGGGGGTTTATATGCACTAGGGGTTTAGGGTTTACGGTTTGTATGAGGTGTATGTGGACTAGGGCTTATTAGGGTTTATTTTTTGGGGTTATTAGGGTTTAGGGTTTAGGGTTTATTAGGGCTAGGGTTTAGGGTTTATTAGGGTTAGGGTTTAGGGTTTAGGGTTTATTAGGGTTAGGGTTTAGGGTTTAGGGTTTATTAGAGTTAAGAAGCAGCAGCAGTAGACGGACGGTGTCGATACAGACGAAGCCGCCGCAGAGTTCTCTGTTTTTTCACTCAATTGTATGCAGAAGATAATATAATTATTTTTGTAGTTTTAAATTAAATATAAAATAATGTTCAGAGGATTATATTATTATGGAGAGATCACTCATTCAGGTGTACGTACACCCGGAGGATCGCAGCACTGCCCAGCAACGGTGCAGCAGCGGCGAAACAAGGAAATAAAGGGAGAAACACGCGTCTTCTTCTCTGATTTTTTTAATAATTATAAAATAAAAGGTTTATAAAACAAAATAACAGAACAAATAACACATATTAAGGTGAAAGTTAGGGGGGCCCCCCAGGGGCCCCCCAACCAGGGGGCCCCTGCATTTCGGCTGGGGGGCCCCCCTACCTGTCGAGTGTGTACGGGGTTGTGAATTAGCTTTGTTGTATTTGTTTCTTCTGCTTCATAATTTTATTTATTTTTTTCTGAGAATTGAATTAAAATATTCATTTCCTTTACTTTCTTCGTTTATAAGATGCAAGTAGCTGCCTAGACACCCCAAGTACCAGGCCCCCAGAAGATCTGCTTTCTGCCAGCTGTCTGTACAGCTCAGCAGCTGCAGCTGAGCGAGCTTCTTGAAGCCGCTTGAGGTGTATATACACCTCGTCCTGCGGCCTGGCGTCTGTTCAGCAGCAGCAGAATGACGGCAGAAACCGCAGAAACAACAACAGGGCGGGGGCCCCCCTCACCCTCACCCTCAAAGAAGATAGAGACTCGGCATGAAGGGGGCCCCTCAGTCCTTCAGGCTTTCTTGTTGTGTATATTTGTTGCAGCATTTCTTCTGGCTGCGCTGCTGTCTGCTGCAGCGCATCACTTTGCTTTGCCTCCCCCTTCTCCTGTCGATGCACCCGCAGATGTATTCAGTGAAGGCAGAGCCAAGCTGCTGCTGCAGCCAGCAACACGCAGTGTACGTACACTCGGCAGCTGTGACAATGAAGTTGCTGCGCCGCTGCTGCTGCATGCATACGTGCTCAGGCAGCTCCTCATGCTATCCTACACGCCTCTGTCTCCCAGTGCACAAACTAAAGCGGCAGCAGGGAAAGAAGATGCTGCTGCTTCTGCTGCTGCTGCTGCTGCTGCTGCTGCTGCTGGATCAGCAGCAGCAGGAGAAGAAGCGTCTGGCGCTGCTGCTGATGCTTCTGCTGCAGCAGAAGAAACAGCAGCAGGAACAACTGCAGCAGCAGCAGGAGCGGAGATGCAGGCTGTGGTGGGGCGCGTTAGTTATGTGCTGCTGGTGACGCACAGGCCGCGGGGAAGTGCAGCAGCAGCAGCAGCGGGAGAAGCTGCAGCAGCAACAGAAGAGGAGTTAGCAGCTGCAGCTGCAGCAGNGCAGCAGCAGCAGCAGCGGGAGAAGCTGCAGCAGCAACAGAAGAGGAGTTAGCAGCTGCAGCTGCAGCAGCAGAAGTGAAAGCAGCAGCAGCAGCAGCAGCAGCAACGCGGCTACGACGCATAACTCCTCCCGGCCAGGTGACGGACATTGAGACATGTCTGTGCGGCGTAGTGCAGCAGCACGAGCTGCTGCTGCAGCAGCAGCAGCACCACACAGCAGCAGCATCAGCAGCAGCAGCAACAGGCTTTCATGAGCTGCTGCTGCAGCAGACGCAGGAGGAATTAGGGCCTCTATGCAGCGAGCAGCAGCAGCAGCAGATGTGTGCAGCAGCAATACGAAGAGCAGCAGCACATGACCCCTTCTCTCCATCCGCAGCAGCACGCGCTGCTGCCTCTTTTGAGAGAATCACAGCAGCAGCAGCACCAGCAGCAGCAGCAGCAGAACCAGCAACAGCAGCAGCAGCAGCAGCAGCAGCAGAGAGAGAGATGTGGGAGGAGCTGGAGTGTACGTACACCCCGCGCTCCTTGGGCCTTTCTACTTCTGCTGCTCTCGTCGAGGGCACCCTCGTACCCCGGGTGCAGTGCATGCGCATCACGCGCCACTTCCTGGCGCCCCCCTCTACTGTCGATGCTCTCCTCGGGCTCGCGCTGCNATGCGCATCACGCGCCACTTCCTGGCGCCCCCCTCTACTGTCGATGCTCTCCTCGGGCTCGCGCTGCAGCAGCAGCAGCAGCAGCAGCAGCGGCAGCAGCAGCAGCAGGGAGAAAGCAGTTCAGCTGCTTCGGCTGCTGAGCCCTCGGTGGGGGGTGATGGGGCCCCCTCATCTGGCGATATAGAAGCGGCTGCGCTGCAACACTTGCTGCAGCATGTGGTGCCTCTGCTCTCTCCAGCCCAAGTAGAACGCAGCCGTGCTGCTGCTGCTGCTGCTGCTGCTGCTGCAGCCGCAGCAGCAGCAGCAGGAGACAGAGCCGTGCTGCAGCAGCTGCTGCGCCCCGTGTTAGCTGTAGACACGGGGCTGTGGGGCGGCGCTGCTGGGGGCTTCGCTATGCAGCACGGGGGGCTGCGCACGGCGTTGTATGTGGGCCCCTCGAACTTCACTCTAGAGATTAAACCCCTTCTCTTATCTGCTGCTGCTGCTGGCTGCTGCTGCTGCACTGACACGGGGGCCCCCAGGCAGCAGCAACACGCTGCTAGTTCCAGGGGGGCCCCACACCAGCAGGGGGGCCCCGCAGACCCTGTCCATGCAGAAGAGGGCTCAACGGGCCTGGGCGGACAGAAGGAGGGAGGGGAAGGGGGTTCTGCTGCTGCTGCTGCTGCTGCTCCTGCTGCTG